ACTCCAATTAACCTCAGCACGGCACAGTCACACCTACAGGCGGTTTGGTAACTCCAATTAACCTCAGCATGGCACACCAACACCTACAGGCGATTTGGTAACTCCAATGTTTACTTCATGTTTACTTTACTACAGTGTTATTTTTGTTTACATTACAGCCTTATGTTTCATGCCAAAACTGGCTAAGGAAACAAGTGCAATACGTAGTTTGTTTGTAACTGTTTGTTTGTAGGTACGAAAGAAAGTAGCGTTCAGGCTCTTTCAGAGTGACTGTTTTTATTTTGCACTGGAGAATTGCACTTTAATTTCGTCGTACAATGTCTCATTGCTACAATGACAATAAAGATTCTATCTAATTAACCTCAGCACGGCACACTCACACCTACAAGCGGTTTGGTAACTCCAGTTAACCACAGCATGTTTTTAGACTGTGGGGGGAAACCAGAGTACTTGGAGGAAACCCCATGATGACACGAGGTGAACATGCAGACTCATGGAGTCATGGCGGAGACTCCACCTCTGACTCACTCTATTAAGGGGAATAGATGTTCAAGTGCAGAAATCATAGAAATCAAGAAATAGAATGGAAGTCACTATAGCAGTTACTGTGACCATAAAGGTTAGTAGGTCATTTAATATTATAAAGGTTTTTGTCAAATTTCATGCATGTATGTCATCTTTTTAGGGATGGCCGACTTGCTCCCTCAGATGGGCAGCAGCAAGGCATTCGGCCCACGTGAAGCACCTCAACTTCTCCGTGTCTGTGCTGACAACGGCGCGCGACCTGCACCCCTCAGTGTTTGGCCGGCTGAGGTCCCACCCCCTGCCCTATGGATGGAAAGATGTGCCAGAAGAGAGTAAATAAATCCCTCTCCCAACTTGGGGGGGTGGAGTGGTTCACACTGAATCACAAAGATTCAAACAAAATCTGTTCCCTACTGTAGTGGTGAATGTGTGTGTGTGTGTATAACAGCAATAACAGAAGCCGTGCGACTCCTCGGCGACCCCTGGGATAGTCGACTGTTCGAGCGCGGCTCACTCACCTGCGTCCGCTGCGCGGTCGTGGGAAACGGCGGGATTCTCAGAGGCTCCAGCCAAGGCACGGCCATCGACAGTCACCACTACGTATTCAGGTACTCGCTCATCAGTCAACAACAGCTTTTCAGTTTTTATTGCCTAGTATGTTTCAAGGAACATGGTGAAATTCTTACAGTGCAGTTGCTGTGTAAGGCCTTGGGGTGGTAGGAAAAACTGTAGTGCAGTGCAATTTAGGAATGAATACCAAAGAATAATTATATGCAATATGCCGTACTGTTCTGCATTTTTGCTTGTATAAATCCTACTTTAAAATAGTGGTTCTCAAGCAGAGTTTGGTAGAAAACCACTTTATAATACCTCAGCCTTCAGTTAAGGTGAAGTACATGAGGACATTAACTCCCCCCTGAGGAAAGCTTCAGATTAACGGATGAGTGTAAGTGGAGTACTGCGGTCCTGAAGCCCCTGAGGGTGTCGTCTGTGTGCCACCAGGGTGAATGGCGCGGTGACCGAGGGTTTTGAGAAGGACGTGGGCACAAAAACCTCATTTTATGGGTTCAGCACAAACTCCATGAAGAACTCGCTGATTGCGTATGAAGACGCTGGCTTCAGGAAGGTTCCGCAGGGTCAGGTAGTGAGAACAGCATCAGCCTGTCTAATCACCTACTTCTGTACTATTCTTACATGTAACCATGCCCCCATGTATTTATGACTCATGCTTTTTTTTGGGGGCGGGGGGGTATGCTGTATGCCAGGGGTCTCCAGCTCCGGTCCTGGAGAACTTCTGTCCAGTCGGTTTTCAATCCTGCCCGGCTTCTGATGAGTCACACCTGCTCCTGGTCTTTACCTGAGAACAGCTGTGGCTCATCAGAAGCCAGGTAGGATTGACAGCCGACTGGACAGTAGCTCTCCAGGACCGGAGCTGGAGACCCCTGCTTTATGCTCTGTCACCGGCACGAAGACAGATTCCTTGTCGATCTTGCTGGTGATTTAGAGCCATATACCAAAATCACTCAAGATGTGCTTCAATTAAATATAATGCTTTTTGTCTCCCTGCTTTTCCATTAGGATGTTCACTATGTGTTTATCCCTGCTAATTCACGTGACTACTTGATGCTCACTGCTGCCATCAGGGGCATTCCAGTGACCTCAGGGCCGGACAAAGGTGACCAGTGAGTGTTGAGTAGCTGCGATGGTCAGCAGTGTTGCCAGTGTGAAGTAAACCTCTGAAACAGGATGATAATCCACCAATAAAGGACTCGATGATTTCTTGATTTCTTAAATCAGGAATGTGTGTGGTGGTGGAACGTAAAAAAGCAGAGGTCTAGGATCCACTGGTGAGGTGCTAGAGCTTTTGCACTTCACAGCATAGCCACTGTATGGCACTGTTTCACACCGGTCCCTGTGCTTTCCCTTTCAGCTTGTGGGAATTTCACTTACACAAAATGTTCTGAGGGCAGAATGAAAAATTGTCATCACACTGAACCAATCAATCAGATTGTAGAGGTGGGTCCAAACAACTAGAGGAGGCGGAGTCAACCATATCTTGGTCCCACCTCCTCTACAATCTGATTGGTTATCTCTCTGAACCAATCATTTTTTATTTTGCCCTCATAACATTTTTGTGTAAGTAAAACTTCTATGAGCGCAATTAGATTTCAGAAGATAGCAGAACTGCTAATTCCAGTATCGTCACATGCTATTTTAGTCTTGAGCAATTAAAAGTTTATATTTGGTGTGTGCATATTACCCAGTCCCGTCTTGTTTTGCAGTCCCTCGCAATATTTTGGAGCTAACCAGGGAGCTAATCGCTTCAAGATCCTCAGTCCGGAATTTATTAAGTACATCAAAGATGAGTAAGTGTTTCTTCAAAATCTTTCCAACACGTCTGCATTGGTGGAGCTCGCGTGCGGGGGCCAAAAGTAATTCCCCCAGTGACAGAGGTGCTTTTAAAAGGTTCCTGAACTCAACGCAGATGATCGAATTTCCCGAAGTCTACATGCCGAGCACCGGAGCGCTGATGCTTATGACTGCGCTGCATATGTGTGATCAGGTCAGTGCAGGATCTACATGCCGTCTGCCATAGCTGGCTTATTTATATATAATATAATAGTTTAATGTTGATTCATTAGGTATTAATAAACCGTTACTAATCAATCCTCACAAACTTGTAAATGGCCAATTATAACTCATTCCTGAATATGCTTACTTACCCATTGTTTTATATTTGCAAGTGATTTACAGTCCATTTCGTAAATATCAAGTGTAAGATATGATTGTAATACATTTCTACCTTTGTGAGTGTACAGTACTGTACAAAAATCTTTGGTGGTCAAAGAAAATATTTAAGACTATTTAGGTAGTAAGTGTATATTTGCTCAGAAAGCATTGTTTAACATTAGGACATATGCAAATGAACAGTAGCAGAATAAGAATAAATAAGAATTTCTTCTGTTCTCCAAAAAGTTACTCATGTCTTGATTTAGATGGATGCTGGATGTCTTCATTTCTCAAACCTCTCCTCAGGATTTACTCACCCCAGTAAATCCACGTATTCACAAAATTTCACCGCCAGCTCAATTAATGAATTAACTTGCTCAGTTAATTAACTCAATTGATTAGCCAAAGAAGGCATGGTAGTTAGATACCTGGGTCTGTTGGACTGTCATTGCAAACACTGGGATAACTTTAGGTGAGGTTTCACAATAGCTGTGCTGATACACAGACATAATATCATAGTTACACCAATATGAAGATCATTTAAACATCATTTTTAAGGCTTTTGCACATAACTGTATCTTTCTATCAGTTAATATATTATTGAATGATTGAATTAAAATGACGTTTTGCTAATAGGTGAGGAGCAGACCTTAAACTAAAGTGTCTTATGTCTTCCTGATAGGTCTCAGCCTATGGTTTCATCACTGAGAATTACATGGACTTTTCGGACCACTATTATGACGCCATCAAACAGCCTCTGGAACTGTACGCCAACCATGACATCATAATGGAGTCAAAACTGTGGGCGGCCCTCCATGCCCAGAAAGTCATGCGGCTGTACCAGAGGCCATCAAACCACTGAGGCATTCTGGGATTGTTTCGATGCAGGTGAAGCAGGAATGAAGGAAGCTCTGCACCTCTGCACCTCACTTATTTTCCCCTGGTGCAACAGTACTGCCTTAGAACCAATGGAATACTGGTACAGTGGGGCCTTGGAACAGCAACTTAATTCATTCCACAAACCTGGTCCAATTGTGATTTGGTCGAGGTCCAAGTCGAATTTCCCTATAAGAAATAATAGATAGATAGATAGATAGATAGATAGATAGATAGATAGATAGTACTTTATTAATCTCTCGGGAAGGTTCCAGACCAAACGATTTAAACCTAACAAACAAATGATGAAAATCATTAATAATCAATAAAACACTAATACACACATGAAAATGCACACATATAAAAGGAATAATCATGAATTAAACGACAGCTCATGAGGACTTAACCTGAACTGAGGTAGGCGGACGTCGTACTAGAAGTGGCAGGAGGGATGGGGGGGGGTTACTGTTTGGAAGGGGAGACGCGTCTCCATCCGTACAAGTTTCAGCTGGTCTGTTTCGTTTTGTCATGTTCCGTTTTCGATCAAGTTGCTGCTAGATTTTTCTCAGCTGGCCCGTTCGAGGCCCGACTTGGTAAAGCTGAACGCGTCTCGACTCGTACAAGTTTTAGTAGGGACGGTCGAGTTCCAAGATTTAGGTCGAGGTACAAATTGTAAAAATGAAAAGGACAGGCCTATTCGAAGTGTGAGTTGGTTGAGGTAAGACGTGTTTGGGTTCAGTATTTTTCAATATTCTTCATCGCTAACATTGATGATAAACTCAAACATCAATAGTTATATTAGAAGAAGGTTTGTAGCTTGGGTCCAGTGTCTTATGCACTAAATTGCCAGGCCTTACCCTCTGACCCCTCTTGTTACCCTCTGACCTCTCTCGTTACCCTCTGACCTCTCTAATTACCCTCTGACCCCTCTCGTTACCCTCTGATCCCTCTAATTACCCTCTGACCCCTCTCGTACCCCTCTGACCTCTCTCGTACCCCTCTGACCTCTCTAATTACCCTCTGACCTCTCTCGTACCCCTCTGACCTCTCTCGTACCCCTCTGACCTCTCTAATTACCCTCTGACCTCTCTCGTACCCCTCTGACCTCTCTCGTACCCCTCTGACCTCTCTCGTTACCCTCTGACCTCTCTCGTTACCCTCTGATCCCTCTCATTACCCTCTGACCTCTCTCGTTACCCTCTGACCTCTCTCGTACCCCTCTGACCCCTCTCGTACCCCTCTGACCTCTCTCGTTACCCTCTGATCCCTCTCGTTACCCTCTGACCTCTCCCATTACCCTCTGACCTCTCTCCTTACCCTCTGACCCCTCCCATTACCCTCTGACCTCTCTGACACCGACGTGATATTTTTTGTCCGTCACACTGCTCTCTATGAACCCTAGACACTGTACTGTATGAAAATTGTAGATGGTGTCTATTTCTGAAGTGCTGGACCCACCTCAGATGGCACCAGCTGTTACACCACATTGAAAATATCTCCATCAGGCGTCGTAGCCGTTCTAGTGCTGAGTGGACCGGTAAGCGAGTCTCTCAATGGATGTATTCAGTTTCAGTCACATGACTCGCAGTTTGGAGGATATTGTGCTGTTCACATTACCAAGCAGCTGTACGTAATACACTGGCCCTGAGTGAAATACTCCCTGCATTACAGCAGTGACATTCAGAGAATGGCCCAGTGTCACCTCCTGTTACAGCAGTGACATTCAGAGAATGGCCCAGTGTCACCAACTGTTACAGCAGTGACATTCAGAGAATGGCCCAGTGTCACCACCTGTTACAGCAGTGACATTCAGAGAATGGCCCAGTGTTGCCTCCTGCTAGCGTACCAATAAGGTCTTATGAAGACTAGGTTTTTTTTTTATTAAAAATTAATTTAAGTGCATGTTTACATTTGTAAGCCACACTTTTTCTTTACTGGTGATACAAAAGAAAAACTGCTGGGTGAATATGTTCAATTGGAATTGTATTTAATGTGCAAAGAATAAGCCATGTTTTTAAAATGCTTTTATTCCCACATTTTGACAAATGAGGACATTTGTCCAATGATTGGACATTTGTCAACATCGAGTGACACATGACATGTTTTCTTGAGCCAATCAGATGGTGTAAGTCTCATATGTACATGGTGGCTGGGTTCTGATGCTAAAATAGCTAAATATGAAACTCGATGTTGATTGGCTGTTTATTTTTTAAATGTGTAAGGCTTACTTGTTCTTGGCTAAAAAGCAGTGATAACCCAGGAAACCATAGAAATTCCTCTTGAAATAATGTAGCCCAGTAAGTTGTAGAGAGCCTACATTGTATATAAGAAGATTCACCCAAAGAAATGTAGTAAGCCCTGTTTTTATTGTGCTGTTTACTTAGCGATGAGTGACTTGTCTCTTGTTGAATGGTAAATCTTAATGGGCACATTGGATGCCTTTGTCTCGCTAAACCCAATAATCAAGCAGTGGTTTGTTTGAAAAGAATAATAATTGATAGAATTATTTTAAATGCATTCCTGTGTTATGTCATTGTTGAGACTTCCAAAAATGTTTCCTCAATAATGTAAGAGAGGTTTGACAATTTCAGTCTGGGGAAAGGTGAGTGGCTGGTCTGTAATGTATAATTTTTTTCTGGGTGACATAGAAGGTTTTTACCTGTTCAGGCATCTGTCTGCAGAACCAGGTGGTTGGGGGAGAGGACCACCTTCTCTTTGATCACAGGAAAGAGTACTTCCTGTCTTGAAAGACGATGACGATGGTTTTTTTTTCCTCCCCCTCTGGAATCAATGAATCTTGTCAATTTGCTCAGCACAGAATAGCCAGGACTGCCGAACACATCATCAGAGGCCGGGCACCAACCACAACCACAATCCTCAAACCTCTCCAGAGATTCAATCCACCGCAATCACTGTCTTTTTGCCCCTCTGCCATCTGGTAAATAATACAGGACTATACATGTACACACTACCAGACTCAGAAACAGTTTCTTCCCTAGAGCAATCACATGACTGAACACTAAACCGCACTAGTCATACACCTTAGCCATGGTTCTTATCTCAGGAAGCCACCAAGCTTCCAATTTAGCTCTTATATTTTTGATTTGGTTCTTACTGTATATACATATGCTGTATATTTATATCATGTTCCCTTAAACACCTGTTACTAGTTGCAATTCATTCCTCTGATGCAATACTGATGTAATGAAATTCATTTCAGCGTACAAACTGATGGATTACTGCACGACACGCAATTATTATTCTCGTGTGCAACGCCTTCGTGTGCAGCGTTAACTTTGCTGGGTAACGCTTTACTTGAGGGGCTACAAAAACTTCGTGGTAACTCAGTTATTACTGAAGTACAAATCATGAACAAATGTAGTCGCTACTTGAGATAAAAGATGCGTCATGATTCATTAATGAAGGACAAACATGAGTATTTCACTTGTGTTATGACTTGTTCCTTCAGTAGTTCACAAAAGTTTACAGAATTATCAGATATAGTAACACATATAATCACTGCTTGAGATAAAAGACGCGTTATGTTTCATTTATGATGAATTAACATGACATCAGTATGTACCTAACACTAGGTTTCTGGTTAATACATAAGTAATCGCTTAATACTGAACTATTTGTGCCCCCTATAGTAAAGTGTTAGCGCTTTTCTGATTATCAAGATGTTATCAGTTTGTTTAACAAACGTTACGACCCAGTCGGAAGACTTTCCCGGCTGCGGACCCCATCTACCGGGGATACAGCGCAAACCCCCGCAGGGTGCGCAGACTGGCCGGTGTCAGAACCATCGCCACGAGATGGGAATGAATCAGAAACGCAATCCTCGTTTTTTTTATCAAGAAGAAATTTAGCTTTACTGAAGTGAATGTCACACGGCTCAAAATGGGGGGGGGGGAAACCACATAAAACAAACGGAGAGCGCCTGGGATGTTTTATTCCTTCGAGCGAAAAATTCTTCCCATTCTTAAATATTTTTAATGAAGGAATTCATGAAAGTCTTTGCACGATCTTGTATAACTATAGTAATGTTAAAGTAGTAATGACCTAACCAGCGGTTTGACTAACTCGCATAACTAAGCAAAATGCATATACACCAAGCTTGCGGGGATTTAAAAATGGAAACGTGCAGGCAGACTACGGGAAAGTGGGAGGGATCGATGGCACGGAATCGCAGTTGGACTTGGAAAGATGGCAAGCGGAGTTTTTGGGTTTAGTCAGTAAGGAAACACGCTGAGCGCTTTATATTTTAACGCGGTCGGCTCGCATCGACGGCTGAAAACCCATGAAAATCCGACTAGTTTGCGGTGCGAATCAGTAGTTAGTGATCACTGCAAACCAGGTCTGGGAACCCAGCTGTAGACCCGAGGACGGCATCCTTGGAAGTTGCGTGTCGCTTTGCGGAAACCCACATAGACCAGTTACCGCACCTGGAGATGCGCGTACGAAGGTGAGCCTCTCTAGTGGGTTTAATGGGTCGCAGCAACGACTGCAGGCGATAGTGCTGCCCAAGTTACTAAGATGTTTTCTACACTGGGGGAAGCAAATTACATTTCACACACACACACACACACATTAGTGATTTTATAAGGCTTCGCTAGTTAATTTGTAAAGTTATTTATATATATACAAATTAACTAGCGAAGCCTTATAAAATCACTAATGTTTTATAAGATGTTTAACAGAGTAATGTAGCATGATGTGTGGTAATTCAGCTTAAAAAGGAACAGCTTCACAGAAATTCTTCTAAGTAACTTTTTTAAGTACAGCTTATCCGGTAATTATAATGCAGTGTAGCCTGTCACGCCTGCTGTAACCAAACGCACTGTACGGAGACACCAGTCCAAATCATTTCTTTTCATAGTTTTTTCCTGGATAATTTTAGAAATGAGCTGTCATGCAACCAAGTTAACGACTGTAAATCGTGCGGATACATTTCAGAAGAAAACGCCTGCGTTTTAAACTTAGTTGCTGGCTGATGTAGGCCAGTTACGTTGGTTTCGGTAACAGATTTAAATAGTTTGTAAATTAAACCTAGACTTTATGGGGGATGTCAGCATCACCCTGCATTTTTAGCGATTGCTGCAGTTTTTTAGTGAGTCATGAATCACATGTTGTAGAAAATTTGGGGAAAAAAATGTACCCAAAAATTTACCGTACAATGTACCGTAGAACTGGGGTGCTAGTGAATTTTATTATTTTTTATTATTTATTTTTTTTGCCTTTTTTGTTTTTCTTTGTTTTCAGACTCTGTTGTGTCACCACCAGTTCGGTACAGGACAATCACTGCTAGCTCAGCCTTAATTTGACAGATCTGCAAGCCACAGTCTGATGGCTTGCGACTCAGTGGACCCAGCCAAGGACACGACATCCAAGGCCAGCTGTCAGTCTGTTTCCTCATGACGGATCAGATCTACCAAGGAGGTCCAGGAGAAGTCCAGCAGCAGGGGAACCATGGCAGTGATTATACCCTCACGGCAGATTTCTCACAGGGTTCATGACAGATGTTTAACAAGCTTTACGGATTGAAGCACACTGCTACTGGACTCCTTCTGAAATCAATCATGGCTGCCCAAACCTTTCCCTCTGTGTTTTTGTGCATGTATGTGAGCATAAAATGAATCCTTGTTGCTGTTTTCCCCTTCATCTGAAGAAGTTTCCAGGAAGCTCTTGACTGACACCTTGGGCCAGGTCCAGTTGGGTTTCATGTGTGCTTTGTGGAGCTCTGAGTTGGTGGCTTGCTGACCTTCAGCACGTGAGCCATGGGCAGAGAGCAGGACCTCCTGCAGGCGGTGAAGAAAGGAGACGTACCATCGGCGCAGAAGCTTCTGGCCAGGCAGAAGGCCGGTCGCAGCAGTGAGTGCCTTTCACTCTTTGACACTTCGAGGCGTCTCTTTTTCTTCACAGAATCCTGGATGTGTTTGCAGTAATGAGACTCGAGCAGTGTTTCCCAGTCCGGTCCTCGGCGAAGCAAAAACGGGGACCGGCCGTGGGTCCCCAGGGACCGAATTGGGAAACATTGCTCTAGAGCAGTGTTTCTCAACCCAGTCCTCAGCGAACCCGAGCCAGTCCACGTTTTTGCTTCCTCTCAGCTCCCAGCACCTGTACCAGCTATTTGGTGTTCCTGATTGGCTGGGAGCTGGGAGGGAGCAAAAACGTGGACTGGCTGGGGTTCGCTGAGGACTGGGTTGAGAAACACTGCTCTAGAGGATGGAGCAGCTGATCCAGGGCGGAACTTGGTTGGCTGATTCCTTAGTGGCTGTTACCCTGTTACCTTGTAACCCCGATCCACATGCACACACTGTTACACCGATGCTGGATCGTTGGTTACAAAGCCTTGCACCTTGCAGACATGAATCTACACATAATCCACTTCCCTATCAGATTAGCTCTCCCTCTGCTAGCTTGTGCTGACTCCTATTTTTCATGTAATCCTTGACAGATTCTGTGGGGGAAGGGGGGTGTTTTAATTTGGGGTCAGTCATCAGCCCCCTCTAATGTAACATCCACACAAACATGCCCCTCCTTTTTGACATCTTATTTGTTAAATGTGCCTTTCAGGGGGTGGGGCTTGGATAGGATGATGCCTTTCAGGGGGTTGGGCTTGGATAGGATTGATTCCTTTTTCGGGGCGGGGCTTGTATAGGATGATGCCTTTCAGGGGGTTGGGCTTGGATAGGATGGATGCCTTTCAGGTGGTGGGGCTTGGATAGGATGGATGCCTTTCAGGGGGCGGGGCTTGGATAGGATTGATTCCTTTTTCGGGGCGGGGCTTGTATAGGATGATGCCTTTCAGGGGGTTGGGCTTGGATAGGATGGATGCCTTTCAGGTGGTGGGGCTTGGATAGGATGGATGCCTTTCAGGGGGCGGGGCTTGGATAGGATTGATTCCTTTTTCGGGGCGGGGCTTGTATAGGATGATGCCTTTCAGGGGGTTGGGCTTGGATAGGATGGATGCCTTTCAGGTGGTGGGGCTTGGATAGGATGGATGCCTTTCAGGGGGCGGGGCTTGGATAGGATTGATTCCTTTGTGGGGGCGGGGCTTGGATAGGATGGATTCCTTTGTGGGGGTGGGGCTTGGAAAAGATGCCGTTTGAAGGGCATAGACTTGTGTTAAACGTAGGTTGGGACCGAATCAGCCCTGACCCCCCCCCCCCCCCATACACACAGGGTACTCCCACAGTATTGGTGGGGACGTGTCTACATCCCTCTGCTATTTCACATGCACCCCACCATTATAGATATTCTGTCGGTCTGGCCAGCATCGATTTATCTTCCTGATTGTGAGGCAGAGCTGTTGGTTTAACATTCACACTCACATGCACACTAACCACGATGGACTTATTCTTTAGCACATGGCTCCATTTCAAACGTTATTTAAGGGTGAACTACGTGGTAATGTATCGAACGCACCTTTTAATCCCCTTTTTATTAAACCTTCGGGGAACGAGATAAAGCAAACGAGGGAATTTTGCTCTTTTTTCATTTCCATGATGCTTCTAAAATTCCTCGACCACAGTTCTGATTTTTTTGGGTTGTTGTTTTTGGAGGTCAATGAGACGCGTAATACTTCTTCACTAGTAGAATGTGATTAATCACGTAGTCTTCTGTGCGTGAAACCCAAAAGCTATTACTGAAATTAAGTCTTTGACTACCGCGGTCTAAACTGACTCGCATAAATTTCAGGTTTCGTTTTTCAGCACCGTTACTCTGTGAATGGTCAGCCTACGCCTCTCGCTTTGCACGCCGGTTTGTCCTGCTGTACTTATTTGCGGCTGCGGCTGCGTGTGATACCCTAAACTCTGCCGTCAGACTCAAGAACCGTCAAAGAGTGCCTCATGTCACTGGGCAGCATGTAACCCAATGGGAGCCGTTTAAATTTCCAGGCCCCTGTATTCCCGTGGGCGGTATGGAAATGCCCTGGCAATGTGCCCCCCGATGTAACTAGCGGTAATTTAATTTTGATAAAATCTTTGCTTGTGGAAAGAATACTGTTTTCTCTGGGATGGACGTGACGTTTGAAAGCGCATTGGAAACACTTAGAGGTGATGTTGGAGTTCGACTCAAACTCTTGGGTGTTAAATATCATTTTTCCTAGATGGGTATGGCATGGAATCATCATTACAGGGGTAAAGGATTTTTATTTGCCATTGTGCAAGTGGTTTACACCTGTACAACACACTTTACTCTTGGTCGTCATAATGACATAAATACATTGGGTTATTTTCTGTAGATGAATAATTTGCAGCATTTGGATGGAACGCAATTAAGTGACAGTTTTACAAACAATGTATAATTCTTGTATTCATAAGCAGACAAGATGTCCTTAAAGAATAATGATAAGGACCAGTGGCTCGTAGTTGACCCATCATGCCTGGTGTGACCCCGGTGTGATGTTAGGTCACTTATTGTCAAAGGGGAATTGCTCTTGCTCAAAATTCTACCTGAGAGTCAAGTCACTATGTTTAGTGTTTGACCCTAAACAAAGAGACGTCGCCTGAAAATGGCCACGATGAAGAACCTCTCAGGACCACCGCGGTTTAGGAGAATGAGTGACCTCTGCCCGAACCTCACGCTCCTCTCCTGATTTGATCCCGTCCTTTAATGTTCTCCTCCTTTGCATTACTGCCAAGTTGTGGTGATCAAACAATAAAAAGACGAGACTCCGACGGTCTGGCCAGGCTGGTCTGAATGAGAAGCTCTGCCATAGGCACCTGCATGCAGATGAAAGCACAGTTACAGACTTGTTTTAGATCTTTGGGCCTTGAGAACAATGAGACCGTGTTCATTGATTTCTTAAAAAAGACCCTCTAACAGTTTTTTGGTGTATTTTATGGAAGTGGTTGAGGGGATGATTTTCAGCACATTTTCTTTGGTTTGCTGATTTGTGGGATTTGAATTGAGACTAAAGATGAGGGTGTCTGTGGCGATTCCTCTCCTTTGGATACGAACTGAAGAGAGATTCTGAGGTGGGGAACTGTCTCGGTGATCTACTGTCTGTGTCTGTGACACGACTGATTGGTGGAATATCTGACAGCCAGAGGTCGAACTGAAAACATCAAAGAGAGATTGGCTGGGATTCCTGCCACTCAGGCGCTCCTTCCTGCGCAGCTGCTCGTCTGGGCCTGTGGAATCCTTATAAGGCGGTGGACTGAGCAGCTTCCTGGTTTTCACAGAAGTTGTTACATGTGCTTTGGCTGCCAGCAGATCAGCCATGTGGTTAAAGAGGGCGTGTCCTAAAGGTCAATAGCCACTTCTGTCCTCACGGATAATTGGTCCTCATCATGTGCTAACTTATTCATCTTTGTTTTTCCTCTTGCTTGACATTAGTGGTTTGACCTTACTCTTCATACTTTCTATATTACTGGTACCAGTTTATGTCCTACAAAGGCCTTTCTTGACTGGTGGCCTGTTCTGACTTTGTCATCTTTTGACCTCCTTTGACCTTATCCCATTCAGGGTCAAGGGTGACTTGGATTCCAAGCAGCACAGGACTGAGTTGCACCCTGGATGGAATGCCAGACCGTCACAGGGCACCTGCTGTGGGACAGGGTTTCCCAACCTGGTCCCCAGGGACCCTCAGATGGCCTTGGTTTTCACTCCATCCCAGTTTCCTGCCAGAAAGTCCACAAAAAATGGACCAGGTTGGGGAAACCCTGCTCTGGGACGTTTAGAGATGCCGGTTAGTCTAGCACCATGTCTTTAGACTGTGAAAGGAAACCAGAGACAGTATTAGCTACTGAGCCATTGTGCTGTCCCCGGTTCTGACCTATTATATTTGTTTATTTATTGGCCGCTTTTATCCAAAGTAATGTACAGCTGAGACAGGAAGGTGGAGGACATGGAGATTAAAGGCCGCGCTCAAGGACCCAACAGTGAATCACTCTGCAAAACCCAGGATTCGAACCTGCGACCTTCTGATCACTGCGACCTAACAATTCATTACCAAAATCCATTCTTTCAATATTCTTCATTCATTGTGGTAATTATCATATTTTTTCAATTGCCTTTTGGGGGTTTATAAGTTTGAATCCCCCCCCCNAAAAAAAAAAACAGAACATTTTCCAAAACAAACCTGTAAGGCAGGTTGTAGCCTTGGGAAGACTTTTTCGAACTTGTATATATTTTAAGCATATAGCCCGAATGTCATAGACCTCTCCCCCCCCCAAAGAATGTTCAGGGGGGTTTGGGGAGGCACTCCAGCGAGTCGGTGGTTTTCAGGGTGCTCTTTTTAATGCGCGTCCCTCTCCCAACCAAAAGGATTACTCATTTGGCAGCCACAGACCACGTCTCCTCCCACGTGAACCTAACTTTATGTAACCTCCTGCTGTCCCGGGGCCAAACCGACACACTGGAGACGGTCTGCCGGCGTCTGAGTTCACGTGTCATTTGCGCCTAGGGCTGCAGGTCATTTTTTAAACCCTTTTTCTATTCGCCAGAGTTTTGTGGAACCCTCAGTGATAGGAGTGATAAAAAAACCACATGACAGCTAAACAGAAAATGCTGCGTGCTCTTCATGGATGAAATATTCACTCTGAATTTGCATAATGGCAGCTGATTGGCCAGGGGTGGTCTGTGTTTGTTTTTCTCATTAACTGACTGATCAGGAACGGCCCATTCCTCCCAGGAACATATGTTTCCCTTTAAAGTGTATCTGATTCTTTTACTAGTTATGTCGTTTAGTCAAAATAGGATGTGGTTGAGAAAATTACCCCTTTTTAATTTTGGTTTGGCCCAGGCATCCATTGGTTTCTCTTTTCTTTGTGCTGGCTGCAAGTCAGTTTCGGGGGGTGCAGGAAGGGTACAGAGCTGTGGGGGTTTGGGAAACTTTGTGTTGTCGTTTACATTTCAATTCAATGATTCCTGCTTGATGTTCAGCAGCCACTTTTCTAGTAGGGATGTATAAATGGAATCCATTGAGGTTGCTGTACAAACCTACCGACCATATATGTATTTTTTTTCCTTACTGGTTTGTCTTGCTTGCTGCTCTTCCATCAGATTATAGCTGTATTAGTTCAGTAGTGGGCTTCTGCAAATGTATAATTTCAGCCTCTGCATATTTCCACTGCTTTTGGTGCCAAGGAAAATGTTTTTTACACAAAACCGTTAACAGGGACAGGTCTGTAGTACGTTTGACATGTGAATGCTGACAGCACTGAGTGAGCGCCAAAGAGGGGTCCTGCGCCAGCATGAGCACTGAAATAAGGCGCTGATGGTCAGCCTGGATGTCCTGCCCCCAGAATGTCTCTCATCCCTGTTTGTCTCCTTATGGTGTCTCTCATCCATCTCTAGGTCCCTTTCTGACTCCTCATAGCCCCCCCCCCCCACTATGTTATTGACATGTGTTGGGGATTTAGGGAACACAGTGCCAATCGACAAACTGTCAAAAGCCCAAGGTTGCCATTTTCCGCAGTCAGGTTAATAATCGGTGCTTGATTGATTGACCTTATGATTTATGGTTGTTTGTCCAGCCAGTGGTGTGAATCAGTTTCCTCTGCTTTCATTTCTGCCGCATGTACTTGTCTGATTGATTTTGGGAAAGTCACATGGGGGGGGGATCTTTTTGGGCATGTATAGCCTGGTGAAAGTAAAGCTTTCATCTCTCCCTGTGCGGTTGGTATCATACGCCGTGATCGCACACTTCCATCCTCTGTTATCGATGATGTAGCTGACATCCATTGGCAGAAGCCAGTCCTCATGTCCTCCTGTGTCCTCGTGTGACACAGACACTCAGTTGTTATGAGAGGCACTCTGATTTACAGAGGACCCCCTTAGGCGAGATCTGCAGGATGGGAACAAAGATTGGAGGCCTTTGTAGGACAGATCTGGGAACTTGGAGGCCTTTGTAGGACAGATCTGGCATTTCTCCCTTGCTTGTTGATGGAGCCTGAATGAATCTCCCCATTGTACTCTGCTATGGGAGCTTTCACCAAACGCAGTTTCACACTGGTCTTCTGGCTAGTGATGGCCAAATGAAGCTTCATGAACCGTTTGCTGTATTTTCTGACACCACTAGATGGTGCTCTCTATTCAGAAAAGGGCTTAATGCATGCCTCAAAGCAAAGCAATAGTCCCATCTAGTGGGGCTAAAAAAAAATCAGAAAATGGTTCAAGAAGCTTAATTTGGCCAACACTACTTCCTGACGTGCACTGGCGTGGGCCGTGGCTCACACTGATGATGTCGATTTTCACTAGCGTGTACATGAGTGCACTTAGATGACAATCAAGATTCAAGACGCCCTTGACGTAACTGGCCACCTTCAGCAGATCGTTCTGGATATACGTCACCGCTTTTGGCCTCTGCAGTCCCCTCGTAACTTCTCCGTTGCGGTTGTGGTCCAGAAGAAGCAGATCTGTGTCTCGAAACGCTGCCAGACGCAGGAGCAGCAGTCATACATGCCAGACCTTATCAGTGACTCTGCTGGGAAACTGGCAGCAGACCAGAGGCACGATGATGCTGTGAGTCTGTGTAAACATGGATGGGCCCAAGAAAGCTGTACGTGTTTATTCTATCCCATCCTGTTATTGTTTAACTTTCAGATATGCCTCGGGTGTCCCGCAGTAGCCACTGAAAACCACGTCACACTTTTTTGGTGCTTTAAAAGTCCACAAAACACGTCTACTCGTTGAGTGTTTTGGCACCCCAGTGACTCATCCGGAGAGCTTCATTTACCGACTAGCCTGCTTAGAACATGCCGGGGTTCCACCCTGTCGCCATGCTGTTGGGCGCAGTGATCCAGTATCAGTGATGTGCAGCCAGCTGGAGTCACGAGCTGTGTGGCATCACGAGTCGCAGCGAAGCAGCTTGTTCAGTCTACCCGGGACATGTGTTTCATCTTTGGTGACTGATGGAGATGTTGAAGAGCAGTGAGACCGACTGCGATCACTGTTGTACGAGGAGGGAGAATGACATCACACATGCAAAACAGTCTTTAACTATAACGATAATGCGCTATAAATTACTTAAACATGTAATAATGCTATATTTTCTACATACTTGTTAATTACATCAAACTGTAAGACAAACATATCTTATTGATGAGTTTAATACACCATAAAATGACCTCGTCTATTTTAGTGGCAAAAATTTGGATTTTTCTGCATGCAATGTGCTTTTTATTCCCTTTCACTTCAAAAGTCAGATAAGTCAAACATACTAATTTAGGTGGATGTGTGTTAAAAAAATCATATAACACAACTGATTTTATAAATATGTATTTTACTCTAATTTTAAGTTTGTAGCGTTTGAGGTGGTGGGGCGAGGCTCTGGCACAAAATGAAGTCGTGCCGAAAGCTGAATATACGAGAAACCATTATGCGCAAAATGATGTATTTGTGTCTCCTCTAACTTTATTGGCTCATGATGGAAGACCACACCCAGAGTTCCTTTTTGGCGGGGGTTTGAGCGCCACCTTGAGGCTGGAGGCTGAGTGACAGCATTGGGGTTTTTGGTGTCTCACCAAGGCATTAAGGCGTTTTCTGTAGCGTCGTGTCGCTTTTGCTGCTGCAGTCAGGATCCGTAATTGCATGGTTAGATACATACAGCCACTGACTAATCTTAGCTTCAGGTTTATTTTTTTCCCACCGGGTTCAGTTTCGGCCGGCTGTTCTGGTTTCCCCGGACAGGGCCGGAGACCGCGAGCACAGACAGGCGGGCAGTCTGAGGGAGGGTGTTCTGTACAGCCGGCTTCCAGTGAAGCCTTGCCTTCAGCCTGCGTTCTTGTGGCTAAGAGGCTGTGCCATGTTAATACCACCTCCCGCTTTAAAAAGGCCGTTTTCTCCTTATTTATGGACGACAGCCGCCCCGGCCTCAGCAAGCCGTGTCAGAAATAGCTGTGAGCGAGTTCCCGGCACGTGAGAGCCGCACCAGTTGCTGAGAGATTTATCACCGGTCGCCGATCCCACTTAGGGAAGGGGAGGCAGAAAACAGACGTTGATGCTGATTCTACAAATGCTTGGGGGGGGGGGGGGCAAGATTTGCCCGGCGCTCCACAAGATGTTAGAAGGGCCCTCGGCGGATCAGGAAAGTGGTCTCTTGTTTTATCGGTCACTAAACTGTGGGACAACGTGTGCCCCCCCCCATCCTCCAAACTAGCAGTGTTGACGTGAGAGGGTGCAAACACTAAGGGGAGGACATGGTGCCCCTTCAAGGCCTGAACTCTTTGGCGGGGGTCCAGAGGGAGCAGACCAGGCTTCTCCGCAGTGACCTCGCTTCACTTCGGGGTGGGGGGGGGACTTTCCGTGAATGGTCAGCCAGTTCCAGCATAGCCTGCGCCGCTGCTGAAGCTACCAAGAATATGACCTTGGCTTTTATCTTTTATTTTTATTTGCTTTTGTCATCCTCCTGGCCTGCCTAGTTAAGAGCTTCTTATCCTCATCCAAGATTTGACTCATCATACTGCTTATGTCATATGACCTGCTCATGATCATGTGACCTGTTCCCATAGTATCATCACTGAAATGACACAGTTCAACACAGTTGGTCCAGTTTCATCGGCCTGTGTGAGGCTGATGTGTTTGTTTCTCTGTGCCTGTGTGACTGAGGGGACATAAAGTCCCCTGTATGGGGGAGGAGTTTGTAAGAAAGTTAAACTGGGCTCGTGCTTCATCTTGCCTTGGGAGGGATCCTTTCCTGCTTTGAGCTGTGGTGGGGGGGGGTGCATTTCAGACCTTCACAGGCTAGCTTCAGTCAGCTCTCTGGAGATGACAGACTTACGACCTTTGAACCCTGGAGACCCGTGGATCTTGCAGAAAGGGTGGATGCGCACTGTGACACAGAGCTTCCTGCAGGGCTGAATGGGAAGCCGCAGGGATCAGGGAGCCCGGTTCCGGGAGCTTCTGCATCCCAGGAGAGACCTGCCGCCATACTTTTTATATCATTACCTGATGTGAAAAACTTGGAAAAGTCTAGAATTATATTTTCTATGCTTCTTTAAACAGATAGAAGCAACTGCTTAGCAAATTTATAAAGTAATTAGCGAATGAGAGAATTAAAGACCCTCATACCTTTAGCTGCTTGGCTGTGAAGATCAGACAGAGATCATCAGGGCTTTACTGTTCTTTCCTTGTATCCCTCTTTCTCTAGAGCTGCTGGGTTCTACGAAGAAGCTGAACGTCAACTACCAAGACTGTGATGGGTGAGACTCCCGGACTGTCAGCATCCGGCTCACCACGGGGAGTCCAGAGCCACGGGGGCGCTGTGGAGCCCGGCTGCTCATGGCCCTGCCCCGTCCTGCCCCGCCCTGCCCTGCCCTGCCCCGCCCTGCCTCGCCCTGCCCCGCCCTGTCTCGCCCTGCCTCACCCTGCCCTGCACCTCTTGCCAGGCTGTGATGGAGCTCAGGGCTGTGGGCTGGAGCGTGCTCTGGTTTGGGTCACGCCCTTAGTTTTGCTCGGCCAGATGAGGGCTCGCTACAGCTCCGGCAACCTGACCTCTAGTATACGCTTGCTGCCAAATCTACATTCGGCTCATTTGGGGGCTAAAAAGGTTCTCCGTGCAGGATTTCCTGTTATTTAGCCTGCTGATTTACAATGAGGTGCTCAGGCCAGTGTTCTCCGCTTTTCACGCTAGAAGCCTTGATGATTGGTTGTTTAAGTGGGAAGTTTTTGTTTAATGGCGGGGATTCCTCACGCCGGGGATTCCTCCCAATAGGGGTTCTGGGTGAGGGCCTCAGGAATTCAGCCTTCCTGTAGAGGGGGTCACCCAGTGAGATTCCTGTTGCTGATGCGGGCGCCTGCCAGTCTGTCACCAACGCGCCGCTCTCAGTGCGAGTGTGAGGGCCGCGCCGCTCTCAGTGCGAGTGTGAGGGCCGCGCCGCTCTCAGTGCGAGTGTGAGGGCCGCGCCGCTGTGCTGGTGGCCGGAGGGACGCTGCCCACTTAGTCTGATTCTTCTCAGGGAGACGTTTTAAATGTCCTACACATTTAGATGGATGCAGGCTGTCACGTTTTTTTTTTTTTTTTTGTTGAAAGTTAAAATTCTGCTTAAATATTTGTGGCTCTTGTTCCAGTCTTTCTTTAAACATCCCAGTGAATGAGACGGAGCATTTTCCTGACGTTCTGAAGGTCTCACAGGTAGCACCTAATCCCCACCCCGTACCCTGCAGGTTTTCAGCGCTACATCATGCAGCCCTGGGGGGCAACATCAGCCTCCTCTCTCTCCTGCTGGAGGCCCAAGCTGTCGTGGACATCAGGGACCGCAATGGTATGACCCGCATTCACTGGACACGTCCATGCATGCACCCCCCCCCCCGAGCCCTGTCACGTGGTGCGATCCACTTCACACGACAGGCCCAAACTTCTGTTTGTCATCGATATCTTTGCTCATCTGTGCATGTGCCTCTCTGCTGCCCCCTGCAGGAATGAGGCCTCTGCACTACGCTGCCTGGCAAGGCAGGCCGGATCCTGTGCGAGTGCTGCTGAGGGCCGGGGCCTCCCCCAACGGCCCCTCCCAGGACGGCCACACCCCTCTGCACTTGGCTGCCCAATATGGCCACTATGAGGTGGTGAGTGCTGCTCCCCCGCCCCCCCCATCTCCATCCAGTGCATGTGTGTGCTGACCTTGCTCGCTGTCGCCCCCACCAGTCTGAGATGCTGCTGCAGCACCAGTCGAATCCATGCATGGTGACCATGGCTAAGAAGACGCCCCTCGACCTGGCCTGTGAGTTTGGCAGGCAGAAAGTGAGTGAGACCCACACACGTGCACACACACACACACACACACACACACACACACACACACACACACACACACA